CACACACACACACACACACACACACACACACACACACACACACACACACTCTCTCACTCTCTCACTCTCTCTCTCTCTCCCTCTCCCTCTCTCTCTCCCTCTGTCTCTCTCCCCCTCTCCTGTCTCTCTCTCTTACTTTTCCCTTTCTCCCCCTTGAGGCTGGGGAGAAGTAGTTTCATACCTTTTAGACTGATGCAACACCAGTCTCAATTTCTTTTGGTGTTTGCATATTTTTCTGCTATTGAGAGGGGAGAGTTTATTACAAGGTTTCCTTCTGGGCTGCAGAAGATAATGTTTAATAGTAAATAGAGAATAATATATAAATATTGTATTTTTATCACCTCCTTTGCTTAATTATTTATGTTACTAAGATACAAGATTTGAGTTAATCCATGTGAGTAATGACTATATTTGATAATAGACAAACAGATGGACAATAAGATGAGTGGACAGATGGAAAAGGAGTATATTCCTTGAGTGAAAATTGGGGAGTTTAAGAGAGAGGGGACAAGGGAAATACTGAAAATTGGGAGTGGCCAGTGAATCCTAGCCACTATCTAGTTTAATAGGAGATGGACAAGGTTGGTGGTGGACTTTGAGTTTGGGGCAGCAGTTAGATAAGTGAAATTCATTAAGTAGAAGATTGGGTATGAATTGTGTATAGGCTTGGGTTGGTGGTGGGATGCTAAATAAATTATTTCAAGAGTGATGATACGTAGTGGTTGAACTGAGAAAATCAGCGAAGAAGACGAGTGAGTGAAGAATTGGGCAGGTGATGGTGACAGCCAGCATCCGTCACCTTTCACAATCCCTTCATCTCAGGAGAAGCTACAAAAGTGTCTGGAGCCTCTGGAGCAGAAACTGCAGGAGATCACCCAGTGCAAGTCATCTGAAGAGAAGAAGCCTGGGGAACTCAAGGTGAAAACACTTGGGAGGGAGAGAATTTAACCAGAGCTGTGCTTTGGGTATGATCCTTATAGACATAACCAAAGGCTACTACAGGTCAAATCCCATTACAAGAATACTATGAAAATAAAAACTTTATCATGATAAAAAATATTTTCACAAACTGTATATTTAGCTTTTGCAGTTGCTAAACCCAGTTTATTAATGCAGTGAATGAATATCCACTAAGCACCTGCTATGTGCAATGCACAAGTAATGACTTTCTTTAAAAAATGACTTAAGGTGAATAACAGAGCCTTTAGCCTTGAAATTTATTATAGCCAATATGATGATACCTTTTAACTTTAATATATTACATTAAAACTACTTTACGTAGGTTCTTATTCCAAAACATTATAATGAACTTTTTTAATGAATCCAGTTAAATTTTCAAAACTTTTAAATCAAGAAAATAGTTAAAAATCACAAATTGTGTTTATCTGTTCAGATGTTCACCACCCCCTTACCACTAATCCACTAAAGCTAATATCTCCTTTAGTCTGTCACTCTATTTAGTCACTCTATTCTGAGAAGTTTTAATTGTGTGTTGTTTGCAAAATATTTCTCAACTATACTTACAGAGAACATCTCACTTGCTAATATACTGTAAAAGTGTAAAGGGGAAGAAGAGTGGAAAATTAAGCAGAGGAATTCAAGCAAGTCCCTTCTTCAAACATCCTAAATTCTCAAACAACCCTGCAAAACCAAACAGCAGACTCAGAAAGATATAGGAACTTGGAGGAGTGAAGGGATGGGGTGAAGGTGTGTGCATGCCACCTCCTTGAAAGTGAATGAAAATTTGCTTTGGGGGTTTTCCCCTTTTCTCTTGCTGTGTTTTGAGCACTTTTTTTTTTTCCAATTGCTAACTCATAACCCTATCAACTGCCTACACAAAGGCCAGTAGAACTCAACCTCTATAAGCTTGGAATATTATTTCCTGCAATGTACTCATTACAAAAGAAACTTGTTATCATGAAAATGGGTATCCTTCAGTTCCTTATAATGGGATTTAACCTGTGTTAATTCATTTAAGTGGTGGCTTGGGGCTTGAGCTACAGAATTCCTACTTGGCCCTATTGACACATGTCCTTCTCTTTTCTCAGCGTCGAGTGGAGAGTAGGCGGCAGCAAATTGCAGGGGAGTTTGAGGAATTACATCGAAGGCTAGAAGAAGAGCAACAGCTTCTACTCTCTCGACTGGAGGAGGAGGAGCAAGACATCCTGCAGAGGCTTCGGGAAAATGCTGCCCAGCTTGGGGAGCAACGTCGAGACCTTGCCCGCCTTGCTGCTGAGATAGAGGGCAAGTGCCTACAGTCAGGTTTCGAGATGCTCAAGGTGTGACTTCCTCTCTACTCTCCTCACCTCCAGCTTTCTACACCTCTAAGATCAGACCCTGTAAATAACTGTCCACCTAGGATGGCTTGGTGTAGTGGAGCATTGGATTGGGTTTTGAGACTGATTCTAGTCTTGACTTTTTTTTTGTCTCATTCACCCTCTCCAGGCTTTCAAAATTTTTTGCTTCGGTGGAATGAGGAAACCTGATTTCAGATCCTGACTTAGCACAGGGCTGTGTGACCTTGGGCTAGACATTTAAGCTCTCTGAGCATTCATTTATAAAATGGGATGATATGTTTAAACTACCTACTTAACAAAAGAGTTTTGGTAAAGAAAGCACAGTTTGTAAAACTTTAAAGTGCTATATCAATACAAGTTGCTTTTACCAGGAACTAGATTCCAAAAACCTTCACAGGTCTTATAAATTTGCTTTAAGGAATCTTAGAGAATTTTTTATCAATTATATGTGAAGTGATGCTTCTGAAAACAGTTCTATTAAGCACAGTTAACAACATTGTAGAAAATGTGTTTATCCCTTTTTAAATAACAGATTAATGTAATGAGAATTAACAAGTACTCATTCACAGATATTACTTTAATTGTTTCATATTCTTTTAAGTATGGATGTTCTGTCACCCTCATTTGCTTGAGGGCTCCATTAGGGCAGAGGCTGTCTTGTTCTTTTGCACCCAGCAAAACTCAGGACTTTATACACATGGTTATATGCTCATGAAATAGTAAGGTCTAGTATGATGTAAAGGGCCCTGGAACCAGAGGCTGAAAACCTGATTCAGATTCCTGGGCCCGCCGTCTTCTATCTTTACAACCTTGGGCAAATCACTTCCCCTTCTCAGGGACTCAGCAGAAATGAAGGTGTTGGACTAGATAATCTTAGTTCCCTTCCAGCTTCAAAATATCATGATCCTAAATGATGGTAGAAGGGGATCTGAAATCACTACCTATCTATGATTCATTCATTCACCATCTACCACTCACTAAGCCTGTATTAAATGAGGAAAAAGAAAAGATTAAACCAGATCCTTGTCTTCCAAGAATTCCCAGTTTTGTGGTTGTCATTGGGGGTGGGGGTGGGGGCAGGAGTAGGTTCTGACCTGTAAAATCCCATCAGTATGGAAAGCTCAGACTCAAAGAATTTTTAGGGTTGGAAGAGCTCAAAGGAACTACATAGTCCAACCTGTACCTGAAAGGAATCCCAATATAATGAGAAATTGGTATCCAGCATATCCTTGAAGGACCTCCAAGAAGAGGGAGTTCCCCTGCCATTCTCCCCACCCTCCAAAACACACATGCTTAAGGTGGTCCATTCCACTTTGAGACAGATCTAATTGTCAGGAAGTTTTTCCTAACATTAAGATTAAATTTGCCTCTTTGTGACTTCTGCACATTGCTCCTGGTTCTGCCTTTTCCATCTGGCATGACAGCTTTTTAAATACTTGAACATGGCTATTGTGTTCTCCCAAGTCACACCTCCAGATTTCAGATCCTGACTTAGCACCTGGCTGTGTGACCTTGGGTGGGCTAGACACTTTAGCTCTTTGACCATTCATTTATAAAATGGGATGATATGTTTAAACTACCTACTTAACTCAAAGGGGTTTTTTTTTTCCATTCCTTTAGCCAGTCCTCAGATGATGTGGACTCAAGGCCCTTTACCATCCTGGTTGCCACCCTTCAGATTCTCCCCAGCTTATCCACGCCCTTCTTAGTGCCCAGAACTGAGCAGAATAACCCCAGTGAGGTTTGACCAGGGCAGAGGGGCCTACGCCTCCATATTCAAGGGAGCTGTGTCTGAATGCAGCCTAGTCATTTTTGCTTTATGGACTATCACATCACATACCCTGCTGAGCCATAGAGTTTGCAGTCCGCCAAAATCCTTAGATCTTTTTCAGACAAACTACTGTCTGATCATACTTCTTCCTCCATCATATACTTGTGAAGTTAAGGGTTTTAATCCTAAGGGTAAAACTTTTACATTTATCCCTGTTGAATTCATCTTAACAGATTCATCCTAATGCTGCTCTTGCCTACCAGGATCTTTTTAGATGTGTAGACCTGGTATAGAAACTTATTCCTCTGGTGTGTATCACACTCGATTTGTGTCTTAATTGCCTGGACTCTGAAGTTCATGGTGGTCACACAGCTCATGGGCTTCTGATATAGGACTTGAACGCAGATCTTCTCAACTTTAATACCAGCCTTCTATCCACTATGCTAGGCTGCTTCCCCCTTGTGGAAAAACACGGCCAAACATACATTAAACAATTTGGAAATAATTTCTGAGCATCATTTTATTTTATTTCATTCTATTTTACTTTTGGCTAGGCAATGGGGTTAAGTGACTTGCCCAGGGTCACATAGCTAATAAGTGTTATGTGTCTGAGGCTGGATTTGCACTCAGGTCCCCCTGAATCCAGGGCCGGTGCTCTATCCACTGTGCCACCTAGCTGCCCCTCATCATTTTAAAGGAACAAAGTTAAACCTCAAATTGCAAATCAAATAGAAGGGATCATGGCAAGTGAGGCTCTGAGCCCCATCCAGAATTTTCCCCTCCACACTTGGCTCCATCCCCTTGTCCCTCCCAGTTCTAGAATGTTTTACTCCCTCTGGAGACACCTGGGAACCTTGGGGAGGACTCTCAGGGCTGGGATGAGCTAAAGGTGGGGCAGGAGTAGGAGGACAATAAAAGACAAAATTAATTCTGCTCCCTTCTCTCCTACAGGATGTCAAAAGCACACTGGAAAAGTAAGTGACTCCTCCTTGGACCAGCTGCCTGTGGTGGGGGGATCAAGGTCAGACAGGGCCTTAGTGTGGGAGAGAAAGGTCCCTAGCAATGAGAAGTACAAGGTCACTGGGACAGCCTTGACAGTACCCTCTTCTTCTCCCAATTTATTGCTTATACTTCCCTGAACACTGAACAATGACAATTCAATCCTGTCTCAATCTCCCAGTTGGAATGGGACGTAGAGGAGATGGAATAAAGGGGTACCAAGGGATCGGTAGCTCTGAAAGAGGTTATTTGGGGACCCTGTGCTGCCCCTCCCACCCTTCCCCACCTGACAGATTGGATTAAGGGAGAGAATCAAACAGGAGAGGAATTCTTGGCTACAGTTTAGGGAGCAAGAAATGGGAAGGACTGGAGATCACAGCTTCTCTTTGAAGGCTTGGACAGCTGTGGCCCAGTTGCCTAGGGCATTTCCTTGATCTAGCCCCTTATCCCCACTCCCACCCCACCCCCTCCCAGATGTGAGAAGGTGAAGACCATGGAGGTGACCTCGGTCTCCATTGAGCTGGAAAAGAACTTCAGCAGCTTTCCCCGACAGTACTTTGCCCTAAGGAAGATCCTTAAACAGCTGATGGGTGAGTTGGGCCAAAAAGAGAACTAGCTGCAAGAATATATAGGGAGGAGAGGTTCCTTAGGTCTTTCCCTTCTGCCTCCTTAACCCTTCCTCATCCACCCACCTCCCTTGACTGGCCTCCAGTCTCCCTTTATTCTCTCTTTCTCATACCCTCAGCCTTGTCCTCTCTCCTTCCCCACTCACTATTTCCCTCTTTCTGTCCCTCAGTCTTTGCCCTTCTCCCTCTCAACACATTGGGGCAGATTTTAGTGAACCAAAAAAATGGAGAAGGTGAAGACCTGAATTAATCACCCCCTAGCCAACTAGTTTTTGGATAGTCAAGAGTTTGCTGTAAGTGAACACATTGGGATTAGGATGAAAATAGTATTCTCCCTCCATCATGGAACACGAAGGACTAAAAATCAACCAAATACAGTGATTGGGGGAATCTTAGAGAAGATAGGCCTTACAAAGTTAGGTCTATTGCATCCTTCCCACCTTCTCCCTTACTCTGGCTTCTTCCTGCAGCGGATGTGATCCTGGACCCAGAGACAGCTCACCCTAACCTAGTTTTATCAGAGGACCGAAAAAGTGTCAAGTTTGTGGAAACTCGACTTCGGGACTTGCCTGATACACCTCGGCGCTTTACCTTTTACCCCTGTGTCCTGGCCACAGAGGGCTTCACCTCAGGTCGTCACTACTGGGAGGTGGAGGTGGGTGATAAGACCCACTGGGCAGTAGGTGTGTGCCAGGACTCTGTGAGCAGAAAAGGCGAGTTAACTCCACTGCCTGAGACAGGATACTGGAGGGTACGACTGTGGAATGGGGACAAATATGCAGCCACGACCTCACCTTTCACCCCTCTCTGCATAAAAGTGAAACCCAAGCGGGTGGGTGTATTCCTGGACTATGAGGCTGGCACACTGTCTTTCTACAATGTCACTGATCGCTCCCACATCTATACTTTTACTGATACCTTCACTGAAAAACTCTGGCCACTCTTCTACCCGGGTATCCGAGCGGGGCGAAAGAACGCAGCACCTCTTACCATTCGGCCTCCTACAGATTGGGAATGATGATGGGAAGGAACAGGGTGGGATGTTGAAGTAATGATGGTGACAGGGGAGACAGGTATTTGGAACTGTGTCTCTTAATTTCCTGTGTCCTGCTGCTAGAGGTTTCCTTACTATCAGGCTCATGTCCTGTATTCTCCTGGAGAAGGTGAGGTAGTGGGAGGGAAGGTTATCCTAGGAAAGAGACTGGGCCTGGAAGAGAGTGTCCACCATTACGCATCTGGAGACTGATCTTTTCCCATTATGTGAAGAGGAGGGGGGAGAGGTTTACTGAAGGTGAGGCTGTCTTGGTTGCCTGCACTGTGCTCCACCAGTTTCCTCATTGCAAGAGGACTTTAGGGGACCCCCTTCCCTCCAAAACAGAAGTAGGTGCGGAGAACCCTGAAGCCTCTGCTCACCCATTTTGGGTGATTCTATATGCCCAGGACAGTTTTGTTCCTTTGAGGGAAGCAGGATAATCTCTGTATCCCTAGAATGAAATAAAGGTGAATTGTCAGTCACGTGGGAAGAAGAGTGTTAAAGTTGGTCTGGGGCAAAGTCTGAAAGAAAATGGGGAAAGAAAAGTTAGGAAAGGGATTTGAAGAGGAGGCAGAGGTTCCAGCCACAGGAAAGAACAGAAGATGAGTCTCTTCTGGTTGCTGCTTTACCCTAGCCAGGAGTGGTAGAGAGGAAGAAAAGGAACAATACCTCCTCCAGCTTTCATGGAGTCATCCTGTCTCAGGCATTCCACTGGCAAGAAGTAGAGACAGAGAAATGTTTGGAGCCCGGAAATGACAGACACTACTCTAAGTGACTCAGGAATTGTAGATGGAGAAAGGAATTATTTCTACTAGTTCTAGCCTTGAAGAGGTTTTGAGTAGCTGGGACTGGGGCACAAAGATAGTGGGGAAGTAGCATAACTGGGGGGGAAGCACTGGATTTGGGCACAGGAGACAGGTTCAAATACTGGTTCTGTCATTTAGTAGCTATATGATCTTTGGCCAGTCCCTTGCTCTTTCTGAACTCCTAAGTTACCCCATCTGTGAAATGATGGGGTTGAACTAAATAGATAATCTCTGAGGTCCCTTCTATCTTATTTTGATACTGACTACCATTAATGGACCTAGAAACAAATTTCTCATCCTCACCCATCCACTCCCTACACATGGGGCCGGCAAGATGGATGGGATGGGGCTTAGCAGCAATTAATCAGATCATAAACTGGGGTTTCCTACAACCTGTCTTTAATTCCTGAACCCAAGCTTCTACCTAAACCTATTACCAATCATCATACCTGATTACTACCGTGTTCAAACTAAGGCTGGCCAAAGTAGAACAGGCAAATATGTTGTCAGAAACGTTACACAGTCCAAAACCGAATCGTCTGTGGCTGTTGGTGACCAAGACTTCACAAACAGGCATATCACCATCACAAGCTTATTGAGTGAATCAGATTTGCCCTGGGTCCCTGCTGCCTCACCTCCCCCCACCCCACCCCACTCCACCCCTCAAAAAAAAAACTTTCCCTAATATCCTAACCCCTTTTAGTTCTTTGCCTGGGCCCCATTTATATTGGTTATTACTGGGCTTGTAAACTTATAGGGAATATATTAATATTAACCCTTAAATATGTTAATATTGAGCTAGTAAAAAGCCAATAGAATTTGTGGAGAAAGAAGCAGAGTAAGGTTAAATGTCTGCCTTCCATCTTTGTAATCTATCAGGGCTAGAGTCAAGAACTAATACCTTTTCATTGAAGTTAATCACACCTACAATAGCACTAATTCCTTGTTAGGCCACAAAAGTTTTACAGTTTCCTGGGGGCATCCTCTTTAACAGGTGTTAAGGTCATAGGCGGTAATGGTCCTACATCGATTAGAACGTGTAACTTCCTGACTTGAACGCTAGCCCTCTATCATGTTCTAGAAGGCATGTCAAAGTGTGATGAGAAAAAGTCTGGAATTTTTTTTTTTTTAAATTTCTAGGCCCACTCATCCTCCTTGCTTTCTTGTGAGGGCATCTTGGGATATGTGTTTCCTTCCCCCAGATCATCTACACTACCTTTTTTGTTTGTGGTCCCTCCATTCTTTTAGGCCAAAAGGAAAGCCTATTATAATAATAGCACAAACTTAAGCTTTGCAAACTGCTTTACGTTGTTTTAAACTCCCATAACTTAGATTAAGATTTCATGATCTCTGAATATGGGGAAAGGTGTGCCTGCTAACCTTGAAGAAATAGAAAAGGTAATATTACCCCATGAGGCAGCCACTGTAGTGAAAAGCACTGGAGCTGGAGTCCAAGGACTGAAGTTTGAGATCTCACCCTGTGATTTCAGAGCTGTGATTTTAGGTAACTCATTTTGGACCTCAGTTTTGTTTGTTTTTACCTGTAAAACGGTTCGGTTGTGATCTTTTAAGTTCTAAATGTTTCCTTTCCATCACTAGTTACTCCCTTTCTGTATGTCGAGATTTGATAGGAGTTGGGTGGAGTTAGTGAATCACAGGAAGAAAGCAAAAGGGATCCCTGACACCTGAATTCCTCGTGACCATAGAAATGGGACGGGAATAGAGGTCAAGTTAGGTGAAAACTGAGGCAAAGAGGGTTTAAACGACTTGGGCAATAAACGGCACGGTATGGTTACATACAGATTACATACATTCTTGAAGGAGGCCGGTACTAGGTGGAAGTGGCTGCCCTGGGAAGGCGGAATTTCGAGGGGGAGGAAAGGGGAGGTACCCTTTCTGAAAGCATATGCTTACGTAAGTGGTGACCGGAGAGACTACAACTCCCAGCAGGCGCCGCGCGGGTAGTGCGGCGGGGCGGGGCGGCATTCGAGAAGGCCGGGGTGTATCCGGGCTGCCGAGGTGATGGCGGGGCAGGTGAAGGACAAGGAGGCTTTTCAGAGACTCAGCTTCCTGTACCAGGTGAGGGCGCGTAGGAGGGAGGGGAGAAGCGGGGCAGGAAGGTTCGCGTGGGCCCGGAGAACGAGCAGCGCCGCTTCCTCCCTCGCTAGGCTGCCCACTGCGTCTTAGCCCAGAATCCCGAGAACCAGGCGCTGGCGAGGTTTTACTGCCACACGGAAAGAACCATCGGCAAGCGGCTCGTCCTGCGACAGTGAGGCTGCGCGGGGGGGGGGGGGAGGGGGGGGGGGGGGGGGGAGAGGCCTGAGCATGACCCGGTTGTCGGTCCTCCTTCCAAGGGACCCCTCGGTGAAGAGGACCCTCTGTCGCAGCTGCTCCTCCCTCCTCATCCCCGGGCTGACCTGCACCCAGCGGCAGAGGCGTAAGTGTTACCTCCACGCGGGTGGAATGAAGTGGAAATGGAGATGGGCGGGACCGTGTTTTCTTTTTTGTTTTAATAAAGTGTACAGTGTCTGGGTTTTTCAAAAAGTTTAAGTTATCTCTAGCCTTTCTCTTCTTTGCTCCTATTACTATAGCTCCACTTAGGAAAACTGGGTTGGGGTCCCCGTCTGTAAGTAAACTGGAAAGGTTTAGGGGGCAGTGAAAGTTGGAGGGGAGGGCAGACAGCCTTGCTCTACATCCTGCCCTCCCCACCTCAACCCCTCCAAGGGCGCCTAGGCCAGCGCTGGACAGTACAGACTTGTCTGACATGCCGTCGAAGCCGCAGATTTCTCAATGATCCCAGACACCAGCTCTGGGGGGACCGACCTGAAGCCCAGCTGGGGAACCAGGCGGGTAAGAAGAAAAATATTCCCAGTCGCAAGGTGAAATAAGTAATAGGGTGAATTAATAAGGGAGAGATCTTGTATAAAAAGGATTGGGGTATGGAGGTAGTTGAGTTGATGGGAAGAGACACTGTTTTGGATCAGTCATTTTTGCTTCTGTCTCCAGACCCCAAATTGACTAGATCTGTAGCACACACAAGCCATCCAGTCTCAGCCCAGCCTTCTGGGGAAAAATTGCACCATCAGGACCTCAAAATACAGTGACTGAGAAGGGTATCTTCTGCAAAGGCCTAGGAAACATGAGCTGTCATTCAGATAAAATATTCAGTAAAGTATTCAAATAAAGTTTTGTCCTGCCTCTTTTTACCTGTGTCTTAAGCGTGTAGACTGAGTTTTTTCAAGTGGTAAGAATTCTATCTAACCTCTTTTCTCTGACACAACCTGTAATGTAGTAGAAAGAACAATGGAACTAGAGTGTTGGAATCAGTGAAACCAGTTTCAAACACTGTCCACAAGCTGTGGTGTGCAGACATACATGAAATAAGAGTAACTGTAAAGCACATCAAGAAATGAAGAATCATACTCCACAAATGAACTCTAAAAGTTTTGAGAGGTGGAAACCAGGATATGAGTTAAGGTGCCATTAAATAGGGTATTCATCCTGAAAGTCAGCTTGGCCAATTTGAGCCAGGTTGGAATGGAGGGAAGAAACTTGAATGGTTGGAAAGACATTTTGCCAGGGAGACAACCTAGATAAAAACTGTGATGTGATAAGTTATCTAATAATGACAGATGAATTCACAGTTCCTGGCACATGATAGAGGTTTTTCCTAAAAGCTAATAGAATTGAATACGAAATGTAGAGGTCTTGGAAATCCTTTCATCTAAACCCCACATTTTACGGAGATGAAATTGATGAGGTTCAGGTGTACCCCAGCATTTTGGGGTACAAGGTTGTCTGGAAAGAATTAGCTCAGGCTGTCTCCAAATCAAGTAAAGGTGTTTATTGCAGGTAACACAACACACCAACTAGGCTCCTCTGCCCTTAAGGGAGACCCCAGTTTAACAGAGGTGGGGTGGAGGTGGCAGCCCCCCACCCAAGGAAGACTCCTATTTAAGGGGGATAACTGATAAGAGAAGATGCCCATTTAAGGGGGATGCCCTACACTTAAGGAGAGGCTAGGAAATCTTATAGAGTAAAACCTACTGGGGTGGGAAAATGAGGTAACCAGGGACAGTAGTTCAGAGTATTGAGCATTATCATTATTCCATTGTTGGGAGGTGAGGCGAGTTTGGATATTCCATTGACCAGCCTACTTGAATTTGTCTCCTAAAGTGGCTTTAAGTGATACTTGAGATAATGGGCTTCTCTTGGACCACTCTATTTGAATCTCATCAAAATGACTTGCTTAAAAGGTTAGTTTCACAAGTTGCTGGTGTTCCCTACTTCCACCTTCCTTCACAAACTTCTTCCCCTGTTCTTGCCATCTGGTCTGGGCCATTTCCAGTTGTCTTGGAGATGTATATATCTGGCCACTGGACTCAGCTCTGAAGGAGAAACTGAGGCTGGTGGCTTTGCACAGTGTCTCTCAATTCACTTGAAAGTCATGGCATCATCTTCCTGTTGTCAAGGTCCTCTTCAAGAACAAAGGACAAACCACAACCAGTGAGTGTCTGAGCTACCCAATGGGGACCCAACTGGCTGGTTTCAGTTGATGTACTGCTTTCCTCTCCTGTCTTCTCTCCCCTCCATGCCCTTACCTGAGAGTACTCTGCCCAAAGGAAGGTAAATTTTGATGGCTGAAGCCTACCTAGATATCTTGGGGTTTACTGGCTAGATTACTTTGTTAAAGACCCCTCTAGCTCTCGTTGATTGGCCAACAATAGGTCTGTGCCCAAGCAGCACTTAATGGTTATTTTTTGGGCCCTGATGGCTGAGAATACAAATAGTAATCATTTCTCTTTTGGCCAGAAACAACCCTGAGGGTCTCTCCCTGCCAGTTTGATTTGATTTTTTTTTTTTAATTAAAGGGGTCATCCCAGGCTCACTTCTTAAACAACCCTAGTCACTGAATGGACATTGCCTCAGTCAAAGTGAGAACTTGGAAAGACCTTACCTAAAAAAGGCCAAGGTCTCCAACTGCATCCTGGGCCATCTCCAGTTGTCCTACTCTATATCTAGCCACTGGACCCAGATGGGGAGGAGAAAGTGAAGCTGGTGACTGCACAGTCCTCCCTCACGGCAATCCAATTCACTTGCAAGTCATGACATCAACTTCCTGATGTCATGGTCCTCTTCAAGAATGAAGGACAAACCACACACATATGGGAATGTAATGAAATACTATTGAGATGTAAGAAATGACAAAAAGAATGGTTATAGAGAAACCTGGGAATACTTGTATCAATTGAAGCAGAGTGAAGTAAACCGAACCAAGAAAACATTTGTTAGTTACAACATCATAAAGAAAAACAACTTCAAAAGACTTTAGAAGAAATCTGATCAAAGCAATGACCAATCATGATTCCAGAGGACTGATGATGAAGAATGTTACCGACTTCCTGAGATGAAAGTATTGGACTCAATGTGCTGATTGAAACAAAAATTTGGGGGCATGGCCAATATGTGAATTTTTTTCACTTGATTATGCTTATTTGTTTTAAGAGTTTGGTTTGTTCTCTGTCTCTTTTTTTTAGTGGGGGGTGTTAAGAAGAAAAAATAAATTCATGCTAATTGAAAAAATAAGAGAGTCAACTAAAAAAGTAATTGAAATAAAGAACAACTTTAACAAAGTTGCAGGAGATAAAATAAACCCACAAGAAATTTGACATTGCTTTTTAATACCAAGAAAATATAGCAGGAAGAGAAATTTCATTTAAAATAACTACAGAAATTATGAAATTTTGGGAGTCTACCTGCCAAGACACCCACAGAAACTATATGAACATGATTACAAAACACTTAACACAAAGATCTAAATAACCACACATATTAATTGCTCACAGATAGATGAAGTGATATGACAATATTATCTAAGTTAATTTACATCTTTATTCAGTTTCATGAAATTCATCTGAGGGAAGAACAAAAGGTCAAGAATCTCAAGAGGTATTATTGAAAAAAAAGTGGGAAGAAAAGGAGGTCTAGCAATACCAGATTTCAAAATAGTAGTCATCAAAAGAATTATATACCAGTCAAGAAATAGAAAAATTGATCAGTAGCCTAGTGTTTGGTGGACCTAAAGAGCCCAGCTATTAGAACAAGAATTCACTACTTGACAAAAACTGTAGGAAAAATTGGAAAGTAATTTGGCAGAAACTAGGTACAGACCAACACCTCACATCATATACCAAGAGAAGCTTCAAATGGGTACACGAATTAGACCTAAACACGTCATAAACAGAGGAGCAAGGAAGAAATTACCTGTCAGATCTGTGGATGGGTCTCATTGACCAAATGAAATAAAGCGGGTCACAGAAGTTAAGGGAATAATTTGGATTCCATGAAATTTTTAAAAAAAAGGTTTTGTACAAACAAAACCAATATAACTAAAATTAGAAGAGAAGCAGGCAAAAGGGGGAAAAAATCTTTGCAGCAAGTTTCTCTGATAAAAATCACTATTCTAAGATATATAAGGGATTGCTTCAAATTTATAAAAATAAAAGTCTTCCCCAATTGATAAGTGGACAAAGGATATAATCAAGCAGTTTTCAAATAAAGAAATCCAAGCTATCAATAGCTATATGAAAAAATGATCTATTTTCCTCATGTCCAACGAATTGGCAAAGGTGACAAAAAAGGAAAATGATAAATGTTGGAGGGGCTATGGGGAAAAAAAAGTATATTAATGCACTGTTAGTAGAATTGTGAACTGGTCTAGACATTGTGGGTTTGGTTCCAGACCACCACAATAAAGTGAATATTGCAGTAAAGTGAGTCACATGAATATTTTGGTTTCCCAGTGCATATAAAAGTTATGTTTACACTATACCATAGTCTATTAAGTGTGCAATAGTATTATGTCTAAAAATAAAATACCAATACCTTAATTTAAAAATATTTTATTGATAAAAAATACTAATCATTATCTGAGCCTTCAGCAAAACATAATCTTTTTGCTGGTGGAGGGTCTTGACCCGATGACGGCTGCTGACTGATCAGGGTGGTGATTCCTGAAGGCTGGGGTGACTGGCAATTTCTTAAAACAAGACAACAATGATTTGCCGTATTGATTGTCTCTTCCTTTCACAAAAGATTTCTCTGTAGCATCCGATGCTGTTTGATAGCATTTTACTCATAGTAGAACTTCTTTCAAAATTGGAGTCAATCCTCTCAAATCCTGCTGCTGCTTTATCAACTACGTTTATGTAATATTCTCCGATATTGTTGTGCCTCAGGGAATAGGGAGGTCTAAGGAGAGGGAGAGAGATAGCAGAACAGTCAGTGGAGCAGTCAGAACACACACATTTATCGATTAAGTTCACCTTATATGGGTAAGGTTTGTGGCACTCCAAAACAATTACAATAATAATATCAAAGACCACTGATCAGAGATCACCCGTAATAGGTAACAATGGAAAAGTTTGAAATATTAGAAGAATTACCAAAATGTGACATAGTGACACAATATGAGCACATGCAGTTGGAAAAATAGTGCCAACAGACTTACTCAAAACAGGGATGCCACAAATCTTCAGTTTATTAAAAAAAAAAAATCTGCAAAGCTGAATAAAACAAGGTGTGCCTGTATACCCAAAAAGCTATTAAACTGTCCATATCCTTTATCCTAGCCATACCTTCTGTAAGTTTATACTCCAAAGAAGTCAAAGAAACAGGAAAAGGAACCATATGTACAAAAATATTTACAGTAGCCTAACTGAAGGAGTTGAGGTATAACTTTTTAAAATTATGATAAATAAATGTGATAGAATATTATTGTTATGTAAAACATGACAAAAGAAATGGTTTCAGAAAAACTTGAATAAATTGGTGCAGAATGAAGTGTGAGGTGATAGACTCAGAGTGCAGATTAAGAAATGATGTGTGTGTGTGTGTGTGTGTGTGTGTGTGTGTGTGTTGTTTTTTAGTGTGAGGCAATTGGCATTAAGTGACTTGCCCAGGTTCACACAGTTGGTAATTGTCAAGTGTTTGAGGCCAGATTTGAACTCAGGTAAGACATGTTTTTTGAACATGGCCATTGCTAGAATTTGTTTTACTTGGCTTTGCATGTTTATAACAGAAGTTTTGTTTTTCTTACTTTTACATTGGTGAAAGGTGGTAGAGATGGGAAGGAGAGATCTTTGTAAAAATAACATAAAATTTAATTTGTTTTTGTTTTTATTTTTTTTTTAATTTTCACATTAGTCATGTT